AGTAGTAGTAGTAGTAGTAGTAGTAGTAGTGGTGGTAGTGGTAGTAATAGTAGTCGTAGAGTAGTAGTAGTAGTAGTAGTAGTAGTAGTAGCAGTAGTAGTAGTAGTGGTCGTAGCAGTAGCAGTAGCAGTAGGAGGAGTAGTAGTAGTAGTAGTAGTCGTATTAGTGGTGGACGTGGTAGTAGTAGTAGTCGTCGTCGTAGTAGTAGTAGTAGTACTAGTGCTCGAAGTCGTAGTACTAGTGATAGTAGTAGTAGTAGTAGCAGCAGCAGCAGTAGTAGTACTAGTCGTAGTAATGGTAGTGGTAGTAGTAGTAGTAGTAGTAGTAGTAGTAGTAGTAGTCGCAGTAGTAGTACTAGTAGTAGTAGTAGTAGTAGTAGTAGTAGTAGTAGTAGTAGTTTTAGTAGTCGTAGTAGTAGTAGTAGTAGTAGTAGTAGTAGTAGTAATAGTAGTAGTCGTAGTAGTAGTAGTAGTCGTAGAAGTAGTAGTAGTAGTAGTAGTAGTAGTAGTAGTGGTAGTAGTAGTAGTACTAATAGTAGTAGTAGTCGTAATAGTAGTGGTAGTACTAGTAGTAGTAATACGACTAGTACTAGTAGTCGTAGCAGTAGTCGCAGTAGTAAACAAAGTAGTAGTAGTAGATGTAGTAGTAGTAGCAGTAGCAGCAGTAGCAGCAGTAGTAGTAGTAGTATTACTACTACTACTACTACTACTGCTACTACTACTAGGACTCGTAGTAGTGGTAGAAAAAAATTGTTGTAGTAGTAGTAATAGTAGTACTAGTAGCATTCGCAGCAGTAGTAGTAGCAGTAGCCGTCGCAATCGTCGTAGTAGTCGCACTACGAGCACTAGTAGTGGTGGTAGTAGTAGTAGTAGTCGCAGCAGTCGTAGTAGTAGTAGTAGTAGTAGTAGTAGTAGTAGTACTATTCGTAGTAGTGGTAGTAGTAGTAGTAGTCGTAGTTAAAATAGTAGTAATAGTATTAGTAGTAGTTAGTACTAGTAATAGCAGGAGTAGTAGTAGTAGTAGTAGTAATAATAATAGTCGTCGCAGCAGTAGTAGTAGTAGTAGTAGTAGTAGTAATAGTAGTAGTGGTAGCCGTCGTAATAAAAGTACTAGCAGTCATAGCCGCAGTCGTAGTAGCAGTAGTAGCAGTAGTAGCAGCAGTGATAGTAGTGGTAGTAGAAGTAGTAGTAGAAGTAGTAGTAGTAGTAGCTGTAGTAGTAGTAGTAGTAGTAGTAGTAGTAGTAGTGGTAGTAGTAGTGGTAGTAGTAGTAGTGGTCGTAGTAGTAGTAACAGTGGTAGTTGTAGCGACAGTAGTAGTGATCGTAACCGTGACGGTTGTAGTGTTAGTAATAGCGATCGGAGTAGTAGTAGTCGTAGTAGTAGTAGTAGTAGTAACCGTAGTAGTAATAGTAGTCGTAGTAGTAGTAGTAGTAGTCGTAGTAGTAGTAGTAGTAGTAGTAGTAGTACGAGTAGTAGCAACCGTAGTAGTAGTAGTAGCAGTAGTAGTAGTAGTAGTAGTAGCAGTAAGAGTAGCAGTAGTAGCCGTAATAGACCGTAGTAGTAGCAGTAGTAGTAGTAGTAGTAATAGTCGTAGTCGTAGTAATAGCAGTAGTGGTAGTAGTAGCAGTAGTAGTAGTAGTAGTAGTAGCCGAGCTCGTAGTAGTAGTAGTCGTAGTAATAGTCGTCGTAGTCGTAGTCGTAGCCGTAGTCGTAATAGTAGCAGTAGTAGTAGTAGTAGTCGTCGTAGTACTCATAGCAGTAGTAATAGTAGTAGTCGTAGTAGTCGCAGAAATAGTGTCAGTGGTGGTAGTATTACCACTCGTACCGCACAGCGGGAGGCGATCATGTGTGGCAGACCCACTCGATTAGCCTGGGATGTCGTCGGCTTGGAATCGCGCCCAGGGCACAGCGGATTCTGGATCCTGAAACTGTCCGCCCCCATCAAGCAAATATTCCGTTTCGGGCTCCAACTGGGCGCGAACAAGACCGCATCCATTCTTGAACCTGGCCCCGTCCGTCTCTGCAAAAAAATCGGTCGGACTCAAGACCCAGAGCGGGTAAACGGAAGCAGGCGACTGAATCAACAGAAATAGGCCGCCCCCGCCCCGACGCCAAAGCGGAACCGAGACAGCGCGAAAACATGACGGGACCGCTCCCCCGCGGAAAAGCGGCGAAAGTCAACGCAGACGACCACGTCCGCTCTGGATCATGATTCGGCCCGTGCCCGCAAAAGAACGGACCGATTCAGACCCCAGAGTGGGCGCGATATTTAATCAGAATGTTGTCGTTTTCCCGCGGTCGGCGTCGCGACGGCGCGACAGGGGGCCTGACAGGCGGGGCGGGGTCCCTGCATGTTGCCCTCGGAGGCAAGTGGTCGCAGCAGAAATAGTAGTAGTAGTAGTAGTAGTAGTAGCAGCAGTAGTAGCAGTAGTAATGGGAGTAGCAGTAGTAGTAGTAGTAGTCGTAGTAGTAGTAGTAGTAGTCGTCGTAGTAGTAGCCGTAGCCGTAGCCGTCGTAGTAGTAGTAGTAGTAGTAGTAGCCGCAGTAGTAGTAGTCGTAGTAGTAGTAGTAGTAGTCGTCGTAGTCGTAGTCGTAGTCGTAGTCGTAGTCGTAGTGGTAGTACTAGTACTCGTAGTCGTAGTTCTAGTAGTTAGTAGAAGTAGTAGTAGTAGTAGTAGTAGTAGTAGTAGCCGTAGTAGTAGTAGTAGTAGTAGTCGTCGTCGTCGTCGTCGTCGTCGTCGTCGTCGTCGTCGTCGCGTCGTCGTCGTCGTCGTCGTCGTGTCGTCGTCGTCGTCGTCGTCGTAGTAGTAGTAGTAGTAGTAGTAGTAGTAGTAGTAGTAGTAGTAGTAGTAGTAGTAGTAGTAGTAGTAGTAGTAGTAGTAGTATTAGTAGTAGTAGTAGTAGTAGTAGTAGTAGTAGTAGTAGTAGTAGTCGTAGTAGTAGGCAGTAGCAGCAGCAGCAGTAGTAGTATTAGTAGTCGTAGTAGTAGTCGTAGTCGTAGTCGTAGTCGTAGTCGTAGTAGTAGTAGTAGTAGTAGTAGTAGTAGTATAGTAGTAGTAGTTAGTAGTAGTAGTACTGGTCATGGTAGTAGTAGTAGTAGTCGTAGTAGTAGTAGTAGTAGTCGTAGTAGCAGTACTCGTAGTAGTAGTAGTAGTCAGTAGTAGTAGTAGTAGTCGTAGTAGCCGTAGTAGTCGTAGTAGTAGTAGTAGTAGTAGTAGTAGTAGTAGCCGTAGTAGTCGTAGTAGGAGTAGTAGGAGTAGTAGGAGTAGTAGGAGTAGTAGTAGTAGCAGTAGTAGTAGTAGTAGTAGTGGTAGTAGTAGTAGTAGTAATAGTAGTAGTGGTACGGCGGACACCACACCACATGACACAAGGCCTACCACACACCGCACCACACCACACACACACACACACCACGCCACACCACGCACGCACCACACGCGCGGAGACACCACGAACCACCACGAGGACCACGAGACACCACGAGGCACCGACACACCACGGGACACCACGAGACACACCACACCACACACACCACCATCGGAATCCCTTTAAATCGATTCCCGCCCCCCAGGGAGATCCCAGGATCACCCCCAGAATCCCTGGGAATCGTTTCCCAGGGCCCTCCAGGGAGATCCCAGGATCACCCGAAGAATCCCTGGGAATCGTTTCCCAGGGCCCTCCAGGGAGATCCCAGGATCACCCCTGAGAATCCCTGGGAATCGTTTCCCAGGGCCCTCCAGGGAGATCCCAGGATCACCCCCAAAATCCATGGGAGTCGCTTCCCAGGGATTCCGAAAGTGATCCCAGGATCGCTTTTGGAATCCCTGGGAATCGCTTTCCAGGGATTCCGACAATGATCCCAGGATCGCTTTTGGAATCCCTGGGAATCGCTTCCCAGGGATTCCGAAGGCGTTCCCAAGGTTTTTCCTTAAAATCCAAAGCTCTGGCTTTCAAGTTTTTTGGGGTGTCGAATAGATATGGATTATCCGACAGTGGTCCCGGGATCGCTTGTGCAATCCCTGGGAATCGATTCCCAGGGATTCCGAAGGTGATCCCAAGGGTGCTTGTCGGAACACTTCAAATTCTAGTTTTCGAATTGTCATGCGTGTGGAAGACGCAGAAATTGTCAGGAATCTGTCGCGGGATTGTTTTTTGAAAACCCTGGGAATCGATTCCCAGGGGTCCGAAGGGAATCAGAAACATATTTTGTTCGGGCAATTCCCGTGGAATGCGACCGCGCCCTCGCCCGCTCCCGCACCCCACGAGCAAATTAGAACCAAAGAAATCAATGAATAACAAGCAATTCCCCCTCGCGAGCGCGCAATTGCCGCTACCGCGCCCGCGCCCGTTCGGGCGCCCGCCCGCGCATCCCGCGAAAAGAGAATCAAATCCCAAACGTCAATGGAAGGCTCTAGTTTCCTCCACCCAAGCGCGTCATTACCTTTACCGTGTCCGCGCCCGTTCCCGCGCCCGCCCGCGCACCCCAGAAAAAGGGATAAAACCAAAACAACCTATGCAACACGATCGTTCTCCTTTTTCCAAGCGCGCCATTACCGTCGCGGTGCCCGCGCCCGTTCCCGCGCCCGCCCGCGCGCCCCACGAAAAAGGAACGCGCCATTGCTGCTACCGCGTCTGCACAAAGTCCCACGCCCGCCCACGCACCCCACGGAAAGGCAGGAACAACTTGAAACACACTACTGAAAGACAATAATTCCCCCTTCCCAAGGCGCGACTGCCGCTACCGCGTTCCCGCCCGTTTTCGCGCCCGCCCACGTACCCCGCGGAATTGCACTGGAACCCCGTGGAATTCCGAAGAGTTCTGAAAGTCCACGGAACTCCACGGAATCGTTCTGAAATTCCAAGGAACTCCACGGAATCCAAAAAACATTGGTTTCTAACGAATTCACAATTTCATTTGAATTCCGTGGGGGCCTGCTGGGGCGCCTGCTGGAGGCGCCCGCTTAGGGCGCCCACGTAGGGCACTCACGCAGGGCGCTCACGTCAGGCGCTTGCTGGAGGCGCCCACTTCGAGCGCCCGCTGAGGGCGCTCACTGAAGGCGCCCACGTAGGGCGAGGCGCCCACGTAGGCGCTCACTGAAGGCGCCTGCCGAAGGAGCCCACTAGGGGCGCCCACGAAGGGCGCCCGCGAAGGGCGCCCACTAGGGGCGCCCACTAAGGGCGCCCACAAAGGGCGCCCACAAAGGGCGCCCACTAAGGGCGCCCACTAAGGGCGCCCACCAAGGGCGCCCACCAAGGGCGACCACTAAGGGCGACCACTAAGGGCGACCACTGAGGGCGCCCACGAAGGGCGCCCAGTAAACAGCGCATACCAAGGGAGGCCACTGAACGCGCGCAGGAAGGCAAACCCTGGGAATGGATTCCCAGGGTTGTAGAGAAGCGATCCCAGTGGGATCGCCGTCTCTATTCACTGGGAACCGCTTCCAAGGAATTATAGAGTAGTGATCCCAGGTGTCGTGTCCCACAGGGCCCGTGAGGCCCTGAGAGAAGCCCCAGGGCGGCCCAGGACGCCCCACCCGCCCCCCCCCCGCGGAAGAGCATCTGCAACGGCCGAGTCGGATGCTCTGCCGCCGGGGCACCCAGAGGGCGCCCGGAGGGCCCCAGGAGGGCCTCAGGAGGGCCCGAGAGGGCCCGAGAGGGGCCCGAGACGCGCCCTGCGGAGCCCAGGAAGCCCCAACAGCCCCCCCCACGGTAGAGCATCCGAAATGTCCGCTTCGGATGCTCTGCAGCGGTGGGCCCGAGCGGGCGCCAGGAGGGCCCCAAGATGACTCCAGGAGGACCCGCGAGGGTTCTCACAAGGGCACCAAGGTGGCCCCAAGAGGCGTCCAAGAGGCCGAGAGAGCCCCAAGATGCCACCAGGAAGCCCCGAGGAAGCTCCCAAGCGGTTTCCAGGAGTCCCCAAGGGGCCCCCCAGAGGCACCAGAGATGGCCCACACAGCCCCTGTGACCGCAAAAAAGGCACCCAAGAAACCCCGAGGGGCCTCCGAGAAGCGCCCAAGAAGACACCGGACACACCCGACGACACTCCGAGAGGCATCGAAGTGGCATCTGGACCCTCCGCTCGCCCTTCTCATCCTCCCCCTCCGCCTCCTCATCCGCCTGTTCGTCCTCGATCTCCGCGTCCTCCCTCGCATATCCTCATCCTCCCTCGAACGATAACAGCTGCCCTCCCCTTTGCCCCTAAATGCCCCTGCTCACATCGACTCGACTGGGCATCGTTCCCGGATGTGCCGGTGGGAAATGCGAAACGTTCAGCATCCGTTTGCATTCGATCCCACCGGCCGCACAGAGGCCTTTTTCTGCGCACGCGCGGTGGTTTCCGAGATGATCACGACCCAAAGGGCCCTGACCCCGGATCCAATGACCCAGCTCTACTCCAGACCTAAGCTCACGCCGCCAATCCTGGTCTGCTCCAGCTCCACTCCAAACCTAGATTCACGCCACCAACCCTGGTCTGCTCCAAAGCAGAACGAGCCTTCAAAAAAGTACCTCGGACGCGGCGCTCGACCAGGAATCTGCGCGCGGCTCCCCCAACGCCTCAGATGACCCCTATCGGAGGAGGAGGAATCAGCTCCCGACCTCGTGCTCCCCCTCATCAGCCAAACCATTCCCCCCAGCCAGGGCGCGGGCCCGGGGTCTTTGTCAGTTGGTGGATCTGCCCACCAGTGCCAACCTGCGAGCGACCTCGGAGCCCGCCCGCCCTGCGTGGACAGCGCCGACAGGAGCTCGAGCTAGACCGCGCTTTGGCTCCGGTTGTCCCTCGTTCTGCCTTCGTCCCACCTCTGCCTGGCGGCGCGCCGGAGGGGCGCAGGGGCAGGGGGGCAGGCTTCCTGGAAGCAGGGGTGCTTCTCAGAAGCTTCCCCCCCTCCCCCTTCCCCCCCCCTGCGCGTGGCCGACCTGCTGCAAACCGGCATCAACACGAGAACGGCCCAGGAAGCTGCCGTCAAAACACCGTTCGGCCCGAGGCCCGGCGTTCGGGCGCGCTGGCCGAGCAGCACGGCACCCCCGAGGCCGCCCGCCAGCCGCTCCGCCGCGGCCGCCGCCGCCTCGGGCGGCGGGGCGGCGAGGGCCCCCCGGCTGAGCAGGGAACGGCCGTCCCTCGGCATCCCTATTAGGCCCACCACGGCACGTCCTGGGAGCACAAAGATGGACCGAGAACAGAAAGCAGCTGTTCTCATGAGGGGGAAGCCCGACGTGTCGAGCACAAGACCGTCTCGGCCAGAACTGGTCTGAGAGCAGCTCGTGCAGACACCAAGAGGTGTTTGGTGCACATTCCTTGGTGGGCCCATCGGCGAGCCAGGACGCTTCGCCACTGCTTGTCCCCAGCCGCCCTGTATTCGGGGGCGCGCAAACGTGGATTAGCGATCCATGGGTTTGGCGCGCGGTCGCCAAATCCATGGATCGGCGGAGGTGCCCCCCCCCCCCCAAAATGCGGCCGGTGCCGCCTCGCTCGGCGGCGGAAATCCGCAATCTCCCGTGGAAAGGGGCCCGTCACTACTCCTTGAGCAGGGGCCGGCCGTCCTGGCATTCCTATAGTCCTACCCCGAAATGTTCTTAGTACCCAATAATGTTCTAAGAAAAAACGATGTTCTTAGAACAGAAACCCGATGTGTTAAAACAAGACAGGCTCCGCAAGAAACGCTCTAAGAGCATGTCATGGGAACCACAAAAGGCTCCTACAACATTGGTTGGTAGGGCTATCGGCGAGCCAGGACGCTTCGCCACTGCTTGAACTCCACGCCCCCTTAATCCACTGCTTGCGATCGCCTGAATGCAGCAGACAAGAAGCGCGGAGCCGGCCCGCCACGACAGCGAGGGCGGGGGTCCGCCTCGACGGCACGGGCCGCGGTGGGGCCTCCTGGGGGCGGCGGTTGGGGGGGTCGCGGCCTGGAGGCGGCCGGCTGCGGCACGGGGGCGAGGCGGAGCCGACCAGGAAGAGTAGGAGGACTCGTCCTCCTCCTCCTGCCCCTCCTCCTAAGAACCATGACCGCGTCCTCAAGGTACCATACCACCAGTGAAGACTTCCTAATCAGCCTCATACTATTTACTCCGCCAAGCATCCACCCTCATCATCGCATCTCCCCTCCTCCTCTCATAATCTTCATCAGCACAAAGTACTCAAATGTACTCCCCCCTCCTCCCCTCCTTCCCTCCTCCGCTCTCCTCCTTCCCCTCCTTCTTCTCCTCCTCTGCCTCCCCCTGCACATTCCTTGTCCACCCTCTACAATTACTCAATAGAAATACTACTCTCTTCCCCTGACTGCGATGTGCTGGGAGTAGACGACCCCCCCCACCCGGTCCTGCTTTTTTTACACACAGGATTCACGGGGAATGGGTTTTCGTTATTCATTTGTTTTCAAAGAGGTGTGGGAACACTGGGAGCCGGCCTCATTTTCGGGCCCCGCTCGTTCCGAATCGTGCTCACGCTGCAGCGCTGGCCTCATTTCCGTGCTTCCGCTCGTTCCGAATCGTGCTCCCGCTGCAGCGCTGGCCTCATTTCCGCGCTTCCGCCCGTTTCGCCTCGTGCTCCCGCTGCAGCGCTGGCGTCATTTCCCGTGCCACGCCACAGCACACGCGCACACACGCACACACACACACACACACACACACACACACACACACACACACACACACACACCACCACCCCCCCCCACCACAACCACCACCAACACCATCACAACCACCACCAGCCCACCACCAGCACCAGCACCAGCGCCAGCACCAGCACCAGCACCAGCACCGCACCAGCACAACCCCGCACACCACGCACGCACGCACGCACGCACGCACGGCACACCAGGGAGGGGTAGGACGTCAGACATGACGCGAGCGCACCTATCTTGCCTCCTGCTCCTCCCCCTCTTCCATCCTGCTGCCCCATCTTCACCTTCCCCCCGCTCCCCCCTCCCACCAATCCCCCTCCAAGTCCTCGTTCGCCTCTCTTCCAACCCCCTTGCAAGGCCGTCCAAGAGGAGGCCAGGTAGGGGCCGAGCAGAGGGCAGGCGAGGGCAGGGGAAGGCCAGGACGGAGGACGGCGAGGAGGGAAGAAGACGAGGAGAAAGGCGAGGGAGGGAAGCGAGGAAAGGGAGGGCGAGGACGCCCACGACCACGAAGGGAGTGACCCAATTCGCATGCAACAAAAACAAACAAGTTAGGAGGGGCCTAGGCAGCCGAAGAGATCCTCCTCCTCCTCGGGAAGAACGCCTCTCCAGCGCCTGGCCTCGACCTCGGCCCCCAGCTCCACGACCTCCGCCCGCGTCAGGCCGAGCAAGGCGAGGCCTCGCGCACGGTCGGCAGCGGGACCCTCGCGGCGCGAGGGCTGGGCACCCCGAGCTATTCTCGGAGGGCGGTCGCGGCCCTGGGACCAGGCCTCAAAGAAGGGCCCCCACTCCGAGCGAACCTCAAGAGAGGGGGCACCCGTGTACGCCATAGTGAGCCCTTTAGGATTCCTATGGGCAGGATATCTTCCAGCACGAAATCGGTCAAGGTAAAACCCCCGTCCCCCAGACGCAACAGGACGACACCTCAACCGAAAATTCCCCCGTTTCGTGCTGGAATGTGCCATTGCACCACAAGCCGTGCAACACAGCATCGTATCGTGATACGTGCAGCCATCCGACTCATATACCACCCCCTGCTCAAGGGAGTGCCCCAGCTGGAGCCATGCTCCTGGGGTCGGGGGGTTCTCGGGAGGCGGCTCACCAGAAACAGCACCAGGGGCCTCGCCAGGGGCTTCCCCCGCACCAGGCGCAACCTGAGGCACACCGCTAGGCGCACTTGGCTCACCACCCCCAGGGTCCGAACCAGGAAGGGGGAAGCCAGGGACCGCATCCAGGAGGACGTAGCCGAGCCATTCCAACCCTTGATGATCGTTCAGGGCCAAATCCCTACACTCAGCCTGCTGCCTGGCACTGTACAGCCCGACACGTCGGACAAGCTCTGCATATCCAGTCACAAATTGGCGGTCCTCAATCGAAATTCGGAATGGTTCAGCTCCTTCCTTGGCGAGTCTGTCCGCCTCCGAGTTCCCGAAACGCTGCATTTCAGTGATACGGCCTTCCCTAACATCAACCATCGACGAGTGAGACGGGATCTGATGCACTGCCAAGCCCTCCAAACGGTCCCCAATCTCAGCCCACCAGTGGGCTCGGGCCGACGACGCACCAGCTGCCCCCGCGAGGTTTCGAAGGCAACCGACCGTGGCCGCGCAGTCCACATGAAGCGAGACACCTGAGGAGAGGACCGAACGGCGGGAGAGCATCAGCACAGCGAAATCCTCGCCGTCGCGTGCCTGTTGCCCAGGCGCTTCCCCGATCGGCACGACACCAAAAAGGGCAGCGAGGGTCCTACCCTGCCTGTCCAGCACCACAACAGCCCAACCCGCGGTCCCGAGTCCTGTGAGCTTCCCTTCAAAGCCCGACCCGTCCGTGAACACATGAGCCCCCTCAGGAATAAACAAGGGGCCGTCCTGAGGCCACTGAAAGTGCCTGGTGCACGGGTCCTGCGGGTCGCGGGGGGGTCGCTCCACCCAGGCCGCAGGGTTGGGGAAAAGACATATGCTAAAAAGTTCCCCAGCAGGAGTGGGGAGATGGCCAACCGCACGAGCCGCCTTAGCAACCACGGGATCCAGGTTCTCGCGCCGCCAGGGAGCGAAGGCAACGCACTGAAACCTGCGATGGTACAACGTGCCTCTACCATCTCTGCACAGCTGGCATTGGTCAGGGGCCTCTGGACTATGCTCGCACACTCTGTGCTGGCACCAGTACACATTCGCACACTGAGCTGAAAGAGCTGCCTTGTGCGACTTCGTCCACGACTCCGAACATTTCCGCCCTAGAAGCTGATGAATGGGCTGCCAGAACACTGGGCCGCTCCACATCCCGAAATCAAATTGTTTCAACTGCTCCTCCCGCTCAATGGCCCGAACGACCGAGCCTCGCAGGAGAAGGGTGAAAAACTTGGGCGAAAACCGATCAATTGACCACACGCGGTTGAGGTCGTCAACCAGGGCTAATCGAGACACATCGAAACTCCAGCGGATCCGAGCAAGCTGCAGGAAAAGCGCAGCAACAGGCTGGCGGACTTGGCCCCAGGGGGCCCTACTCCCCTGGACCGCCAGGGCGTCCTGGACACAAGCTTCCAACACTGGTGTAGAAATCGAGCGGGCCCACCAAACGCTGACGAATTCCTTTACAGCCGACGTCACCGTCACCAAAAGCGGGTCCCTGAGCCAGAGGCGAGCGGCCGAAAGAAACCTGACGCCCAGGGAAGTGCCAGGAAGAAGAGGGCCCCAGGATCTCGCAGCTTGGACCCTAAGCTTATGGAGGGTGGTCGGCGGGATCCCCAAGATGTGGGATCCCCAAGAGGGAGGGCGAGGAGGAAAGCGAGGAGGAGGAGGAGGAAGAGAAGGAGGAAGGCGAGGGGAGAGGGGAGAGGAAGGTGAGGAAGGGACAGGACGAGGAGTGAGGAAGGCGAGGAGGAGGGCGACGGGGAGGAAGGCGAGGAGGGAGGAAGGCGAGGATGGGGCAGGACGAGGAGGAGGAGGAGGGGGGAGAGGCCAGGAAGAGGAGGAAGGGGCAGGGCGAGGAGGAAGACGAGGAGGGAGGCGGGCGAGGAGAGGGACGGCGGGTCGGCGGCGTCGCCCCTCCGCTGGCG